TGTTGCATTGTGGTAAACTGTGGTCAATGTCATGAGACAAAGTGTATGTGAACTGCTGTATGGAAAGTGAATTTGCTCTGTAAATCTTCACCCAAATTACAATTAAAAAAAAAAAATGAAATTAAGGGAATTTGTTAAAACCAGACCAACCTTACGAGAGATGCTAAAGGGAGTCCAGAGAAACAACAATAACAAATAACTGCCAATTAACATACATGATGATATAACCTAGAAACCAACCCAGCTATCGAAGTATCCAAAGTAAATAAGCCTACAAGATTGTGAACAGGGAACTAGAGACATCAAGCGACCAATGAGGATAACTGCAAACCAAAAAGAGGGAAAAAACTGTGTTGTTACACAACTTCTAGATGGTAGGGAAGTCAAGACAACTACAAGATAGAACAGACTGTTCTAAACTTGGAAATAAAGCTATAAATCACAGGGTAACCTAAAAGAAAAATGATAAACCTTCACACCAAAAAAAGAGGACCAGCATAAATATTCAGCAAATACTAAAACAATAGCAATGAAGGAAGTGATGACATGATTCATAAACAAAAGGAGCTCAGCATAGAAAATGATATGGAACAAAGAAATCGACACCACGAAAAACCATATATCAAAATTGACAGCAACGAATTCATATTTGCTGATAATTATGTATCTGGCAAGGGACTTATCTCTAAGATTTATAGTCGAAGAGTGGCTGACCAAACTATGGTACATACACACAATAGAATGCTATGCAACACTAAAGAATAATACAGAGTCTGCAAAACACAGTGTAATATGGATGAACTTAGAGGACATTATTCTGAGTGAAATAAGTCAATCACAAAGGACAAATATAGGATTATAGTATTAGTTCATTGTTGTGGAGCGTCAAGAAAAGGTTTATATATGGAGGGAAACTTTCTTTGTTGGTTGTCAGGGGTGGGAAGGGAGGGAAAGGAAGACTGAAAAAAAAATGCATTGACCCATGTCACTTTAGTTTTGTGTATTTCACTGTATATAAATTATATTTCAGTAAAATGCATTAAAAAAAGAAAAGATATAAATTGAATGAAAAGCTGAAGTGATGTAGCTAATTCCAGTCACTAAACAAAATACCTTACCAGCCACTGCTCGGGAGGAAGACTGGGCAATCTACTTGGTAGAGATACTGCCTCAGAAACCCAAGGAGGTGTCATTATGAGTCGGAATTGACTCGATGGCAATGAGTTTGGTGTAAACAAAATATTAACTGATAGAAAAACACATTTTAATTTTGTAAGAATAGACAAAACTTAATAGGTATTTCAGTGCATACAAATCCTAGAGTGGATTTTATAAAATAATACATTTTAATCAACCTAAGGGAGAGGTGGGGATGAAAAATTAAGAAAGACAACAACAGCCAAAAAAAAACATTGCCTCAGATACTAGGGGTCATTGCAAATCCTTCTAAATTCTGACTGAGAGGAAATAATGATTTTTGTAATCTCCAGCAATGATTTTTGTCGGGGGAAGAGTTCAAATAAACATCTGTTTGCTTTAGGTGAGCTTCACTGAATCCGTCTCATTTGCTTTCAGATCTTCCTAAGGAAAGAGATTTTAGGATTTCCTAGTTGTAAAATGGAAAAGAACACTTTGCTGAACTTGTATGACATCATCTAAAGCAATAAAAGGGCAGATAACCGTGGGTTCTCTGCCTGTTTACCAAAGCTTCTGTCTTTCCTCAACCTATTTTATTTCCAAATGTCAGAGTAGTCTGAAACCTTTCAAAGATTTATAGACTGCAGAAGCAAAGGAAGTAGTAGGATAAATCCTTTAACTTTTGTGAAAGCTTTTAAATAATTAATAGATGGGCTTTTTGAATTGTTATATATCACAGTAGAGATACTCTAACATTGTACCTTATGAAGGCTAAACATAGTTTAACATCAAAGGGCATGAGGCCATCTCTATTTCTAAAAAGTCAGTGAAACCATTCTTCTTCATAGTACACATCTGAGTCACAAATAAATAGAGTACTGAATTTGTGAAGGGGAATAAAATTACCATCACAAAAATTTATCCCAATCAAAGTACTATCGGATGAATGAAAATAGTTAACGCCATCTTGTTTTTAAATATGATTCTTTTTCCAAATTCTATTTGCATATGCTGTTGTATTAGAGAAAAAAGAAAAACAAATGAAGCTGTCATAATATTATTCATAAAACATAACAAAATGTGAGAAATTATTTTCAAGCTTACATTATAAACATATTCCTCTAATATACTTAAAATAATAAAGCCAGATAGCTAAAATAAATGCTATTTAAAAGATTTTACCCTAGGTATCTAATAGACAAACTATTCTTGTAGTAATAAATTAATTTTTCTCTGTTAGGCAAAACTCCTCAACCATAACTTCATGAAGAAATGTGAAGTGGTGTGAAAATGATCTTACCTCATATTCAAAGTCCTCCGTTCTGTCTGCATCAGCAGGCAAGCTGGAAAGATACTCATTGTCCTCATACAATTCATGCTCCATCGGATGAAGAGAATGGCAGCTATAGGGAATGGAGCAATATGATAGGAATGGATCAAAAGCGTTGTTTTCAACATTAAAACTGATTTCAGAATTTGACTTTAATTTTCTCTGCTTTGGAATAAGACCTATAGGGATCTAACCTTTAAAGGAACTAACTCAGAAAGAGCAATTGCTTTTTTTTCTACCCCTACATGAAGCCCATCAATTTGCTATTTCTATGAGAATACTAAGAGTAAAGGCCTGTGGTCAGAGTTACATTCTGTGAAGAGACTGATGTGAGACCTTCAACAGGCTGGGTGCTTTACTGATACTCTCTGACCTGCTTCTAACCACCAAATGTGAGTAGCTCCATACATGGGCACATGGCATTTCACAGTGCAGTCTACCCAAAGGGGGGTCTTTTGTAACAAAGCACAACCAATTTCATAACACATAGCCCCAAACTGCTTTTTGAAAGCTGTTTTTCAATAGCACATACTTTTTGACTTTAAAATGGATGCACATTGGCCCCATTTCTCAAAACCCGCCTCCCCCAAGAAAATCTCCTTCCCCATTCTCCTTCATAATGAGTATTTCTTCCTTTTTGATAAAAGACATTAAAATGCATTATGGTGATAACTCACTGGAAACTCGTATATTCCCTTTAGAAAATTCCCAGTGAAAAAGAAAGCTGCTTGAGTGAAGGATAGGAGGGTGACCCAAGACATCTGACAAGGATTTTATGTATCCCTTAACTTTTGGGAAATGTTTTAAATAAATTTATAGAATGGTTCTTCAAGTTATTATATGTCCCAAGATAGATACTAGATATTATACGCTAAGAAGGCTTTTTGTTGTTGTTAGTTGTCAATGAGTTGATTCTGACTCATGGCGACCCCAAGTGTGCTGAGTAGAAGTACTCCATAGGGATTTCAAGGCTGTCAACTTTCAGAAGCAGATCACCAGGCATGTCTTTCAAGTATCCTCTGTGTGGATTTGACTAGTTGTTTTTTTTTTTTTTTCTTTTTAAATTTTTATCATGATTTGGGCTAAAATTTACAGAGAAAATTCAGTTTCCATACAGCAGTTCACATACACTTTGTCTTATGACACTGACTGCAATTTCCCACAATGCAAAAGCTCTCTTTCTACTTCCTCCCCATAGTTACCTCTTCTCTGTGTCCTTCCCTCCCATGCATTCCTGTCCCCCAAGCTGTTTCCCTGTGCATACACAGCCCTTCTACTCTCCCTTGATTGATCTCTACAAGGAGTGACTCTATCTAATGTACATGTTCAGTTCAGATACCTGTCTTTTGTTTGGCTAGAAGCCACAGGAATGGATTCAATTCCAGACCTGAAGGGGAGCTAGGGGCCATGTTATCAGGAGTTTCACCAGGCTCTATCAGACCAGCAAACCTGATGAGCAGTCAGTCTTTCGGTTAGAAGTCAAGCATTAACCACAAAGGGCATAAAACTCACTCACTGCCATAGAGTCAGATCTGACTCATAGCGACCCCTCCTCGGGTTTCTGAGGCAGTATCACTACAGAAGTAGATTGCCCAGTTTTCTTTCCCAGGAGTGACTGGTGGGTTTGACTGGTTAGCAGGCAATGCCTTAGTCATTTTGCCACCAGAGCTCCTATAGGACATAAGGCATCTCTATTTCTAAAAGATAGTTAAAAAATCTGAGTGCAGTTAAGTTAGTTGGTTGAAGCCTCAAGACCTGTGTGAGTCCTGCCAGAATGAATATTATTGAAAAATTGGGTTTTGTAGTATAGATCAGTTCCCTTCTGACTATGAAAAGCAAAGGAGACTGATCCCAACACCCTCACACAGTCAGTACAGATGTTCTACCAGCCTCCTCTCATACTATTGGCTCCACACAGGGTTAGCCAGAGGAGAAAAGGACAGCAAAGGCAGTGCAGGGAGCATTCTGGTTGTAGGTCTGACTCATGACCCCTCCTTGCTTACAGGTAGACTGACTGCAAAGCCCATTCAAACTTGTCAAGCATTGAAGCAAACTCTTTGGGTATATCTAGATGTGTATCTTTCAGTTAGTTAGAAAGGAGTTCTGCCATGAGGAAAACTTTATTTATCCAACAAATATTTATTGAGTGCTGTCAAAGAAAAAAGTCAGTAACAGACATGTTTCTTTGGTTTTAGGGTTTTATTATCCCAAAAGCACATATTCAGAGTAAAGAAGTTCCTGACCAAAATTACTCCTGGTAGCAGCTTTTCTTTCACCCAAAGTTGCTAATCTTTTCTTTCCTGTTTGATGTAGCCAAATGCTTAACCACTGTTAAGCCATTAGAGCTCAAATGCTAACTGAAAAGTTGATGGTTCAAACCCACCCAGAGGCTCTGTGGGACAAAGACCTGGCAATCTATTCATGTAAAATTAAAGCCTAGAAAAACCCTTTGGGTGCTGGCAAAACTGTATATCCACCTGCAGAGAAATGAAACAAGACCCATACCTCACCCAATACACAAAAACAAACTCAAGCTGGATCAAAGACTTAAATGTAAAACCCCAAACTATAAAATCCATCAAAGATAAAATATGGGCAAATCTGGGAGCCCTAATTTCTGGCATAGATAGACTATCAAGCATAACCCAGAATGTACAGGAGACAGAAGAGAAGCTGGATGACTGGGACCTTTTAAAAATTAAATTCTTATGCACATCGAAAGACTTCGTCAAAGGGGTAGAAAGAGAACCTACAGATTTGGAGAAAATATTTGCCTATGACATATCTGATAAAGGACTTATCTGCAAAATCTATCGAAAAATGCAACACCTCAACATCAAAAAGATAAATAACCCAATTTACAAATGGGCAAAAGACTTGAACAGACACTTTACCAAAGAAGATATACAGGCAGCCAATAAACACATAAGAAATTGCTCACAATCACTAATCATTAGAGAGATACAAATCAAAACAACAAGATATCATATCACCCCAGCAATAATAGCAAAGTTCAACAGGTCAGAAAATAACAAATGCTGGTGAGGTTGCGGAGAGATTAGAACTCTTATGCACTGCTGGTGGGATTGTAAGATGGTATAACCATTGTGGCAAACGGTATGATGTTTTCTTAAAAAACTGAAATTGAAGTACCATTTGACCCAGCAATTCCATTACTAGGAATATATCCTAAAGAGGTGAGAGATAGCACATATGTACATCTATGTTCATTGTAGCACAATTGACTATAGCAAAGAGATGGAAACAACCTAAATGCCTATCAACGGATCACTGGATAACCAAATTATGGTATATGCATACAATAGAATACTATGCTACATTAAAGAACAATGAGGGATATGTGAATCATCTCACAACGTGGATGAACCTGGAGGACATTATGCTGAGTGAAATAAGTCAATTGCAGAAAGACAAGTACTATGTGAGCCCATTACTGCAAAGAGACAGAGAAGGGTTTGCTTGGGAAAGGGAACTCACCTAGTAGGTTACTGGGATGGGGAAGAAAGGGGTGGGATTAATTTTGGGCTAATTGGGGCCTACACACTGACATGGGTGGAGGAGGGATATACGGGAAGGATCTGTGACCACCATAATAACATTAGGAAATGAGAGGACACTGAATAGTGCACATAAGAGATAGATGACAGATGCTAATACCAACCAATGTGTCCACAATACTGCATTGCCATTAACACCAAACACCAGGCTATAGATAAACACATAAACACCTAAGATGATCAGATGACAGTCAGTGAATAGAACTATACTCTAGACCAAGGATAGATTCAGCTGAAGCTAAACTTGCACAGACACCAGTGATACAAAATACCTGCACTCTTACAGAAGGAATAGAAGACAGACACAGGGTAATCCCTCACAGACAACCAGACACTATGGGAGAGAGATCCAACAGATCTACTATCTCAGGACCATAGTAATGGGGGACACCAGACTCAGTTGTCACAACAAAATACATAAAAGCCTTGCTCCATATCCTACATTGGTGAGTAGCGACTGGGGTCTTAAAAGCTTTCAAGCGGCCATCTAAGATGCAGCTAATAGTCTCCTAGTGTCGGAAGTGAAGAAGAATGCAAAATAAATAAATAAATAAATAACACCAACAACAATGGCATTTGGAAGTAATCAGCCATAGGACATGATGGCCCTCAAGACCAGAAGAATTAGATGGTGCCTGGCTACCAATGCCAACCACTCAGGAATGGATCAAATCTGGAGATCCTGGATAGGGTGGGAGGCAAAATGTGGAACAAAATCCAAAACCTCAATAAAGACCAGAATTACTGGTCAGATGAAATCTGGTGAGACCCCTAATACTATGGCACTGGAATACATTCTGCACCTGGAATAAAATGCACCCCCAGGGGCTGGGTCTCAGCCCAATAGTTCACAAGATGTACATGCAGACCACTCAACCCAGGATGATGCATCCACATACTCTATGGTAATACATCCCTTAGAGCAATAGACCATGGGGCACCAGAGGACCAACATTCAAATTGAGGAAATGCAGGATAAATAGGAGTGCATAAATATAAAGGGCACAGGGGGAGGGTTGTAGGGTAGGGAGGGGAGGAGACTGTGTTAGGGTTGGACATGGTAAATGGGGAGTGAAACTAAATGTACATGTAATGTTGAATGTAAAACAAGGTCTTAAAATAAAAAATAAATAAATAAACCCTATGGAACAGTTCTACTTTGTCATTTGGGGTTGTTAAGGGTCAAAATGGACTATGGCACACAACAACAACAAGGATACCAGATGCTGAGTGCTGGAAATACAGTGGTAACCAATATATAATTCTTGCCCTTTCAACTGAGTAAAGCAAGAGAGTGAGAGTGGAAATTTTGATATAACGCAATAAGTAAGAGGAAAACCCAGAAGCCATGAGAGCACATGAGGTTGGTACCTACTGCATCACTAAAAAGTTTTTCAGAAGAGGCTCTCTCTAAGATAAGGTCTGCAGGACTTTGGAAGAGCTAGTGGTCCACTATCCGGGTTCAGGGAGTGGGCACTGGTCAGATCTCAGGCACAGAAGCCTGGCTCAGTCACTTCTTTAGTATATGATTTTGACCAAGTTACTTAGCATCACTTTCCTCATCTGTGACATGTAGATAGATCATAATCAAATGATGCACTTCCTCATAAGGCTGTTGTGAGGATTAAATGAAGTAGTAAATGTAAAACACTTGGAATATTATCTAAAATATGTTAGATTAATAAATATTAGTCATTATCATTCATTTGAAAGTATTTCTTAGGGCAACTATGTATCAGGCTGTACTAATGAATATTATATATTTGCTTGCTTGCTTATCGTTCATCTCCCCTTCTAGATTACAATTCAACCAGGCAGTTACTTTGTCTATTTGTGTTCACAGTTTTATTTCTGCTCAGCAGCCAGTTCCAGTGCCTGACACAAAGGATGATTTAATAAGTAAAGGACAAATGAATAGAGAAATGAACTAGACAGCTATAGTGTCTACTCCTCTAGAACTTGATATCTAGAAACTGGCTCCTAAAACTGGTTGCACATTAGAATCTCCTGGAGAGAGTGCAGAAATGGCTGATGCCTGACCCCACCCTAAGGATTCTTATTTAATTTGCGTGAAGTGGAATTCTACCACTGGTATGGCTTTTTAAAATTCCCAGTTGATTCTAATATATACCTGTGAACCAAGGAAATTGTCTTATAAAATCCAGCAAAGGACAGGGAAGTGGCATGATCAAATCTGTGTTTTACAAAGTGGGGAATATTGGAGTAAAAAATGAAAATGTAGCCTACGTCACTACTGCTCTTATAACCCAGACTCTCAATAATGCACAAATTTTTGGATTTAATGGTCCTAGAACAAAAATGTCGGAAGGAAGGTTGGGCAATCTACTTCCGTAGTGATACTGCCTCGGAAACCCAAGGAGGGGTCGCTATGAGTCGGGGCTGACTTGACGGCACATAACAACAACAACAACAACAACAACAGAACAAAATGTACAGGAGCAAAATATACTTGCAAAATTATCCAAGTTTGGACAAGAATTATTTATTTACTAATTATTTAAACTTTGTAAAAGTTAGGAAGAAATATTCCTTTAACAGCTTTTTATTTCATAACACTACACTTACTCTTTGACAGCCAAGACTTTTTGTTTACATCTCAATATATCTGGTAATTGCTTTCTTTGGAGAATTGTACTTTAATTAAATGAATTCCTAGCTTCTCCTTTAAAGAAGTGAAAAGCAAGGGGGCAGAGAGGTAACCCACAGAGGAGAGTATGGTGCCAATATGTCACTTCCACATGAGTCTTAATAGGGTTTTGGCAGCTCTGGTGAGAAAAACTATTTCCCTGACCAGTGCTTATGAGTAGCATGAGGCTTTTGATGACTGGAAATATGAAGATGACCTAATCAGAGCCAGAATTTCTCAATGTGCCTTGGCAAGAATGATTCCTGAGGTAAAGCCACCATGTGGGTCAGGGAGAATGGTTAGCAGTGACAGCTGAGAAATAATTGGATGTTGATACAGCACAGACATTTTTCAAACATGACTGGGAGCCTGTCTCCATAATTGTCAACTTGCTAGTATGCCTGATTCTTTCCAACATCTACTTTAAATGACTAATGAAAACAAATAGAGCTTTGGGAAAAATGACAAAAGAGTACCTGTCTGAGAGCAGGAACGGGCAGACATCCGGCACTGGAGGGGTAGGAGGCCTGAGCTTGGCCAGGGCCATGATGTGTTCAAAGGTGATGTCGGTCTGAGTGCTGGCATTCATAAGCTGCACTTCTGGGGTTGTTCCATAGACAGGTTTACTGAGTGGCGTTCGCCTTAGTACCTGAACCACAATGGGCTCCTTGGCATTTCGAAAAGCTTCCACTGCCTCCTCATGGGTGGCCATTGAAAGATCCTTCCCATTGACCTATAAAGATAAAAGGACATTGCTCACCTCAGAGGAAAAAACAGAGGGGCTGTCATGATAGACCAATAAAAGGTGGGAAAAGGAGGCTTAAACTAGCTCTGATATGAATTCTGTAAAGGAATACTTAATCAGACACTGATGTTTACTGAACTCTTCACCAAACCGAGGATGTGAAGGAGATTAGAAAAACAATTACTTCTTGTATCTTCATGAAGTATCTGGAGCTTATTAACTAGAAAACACCATCAGAATTATTCTGAAGGCATTAGTAAGATTTAAAAACTTCAATAACACATCAGCGCCAGAATGTGCTCACCAAAATTGTCAGATAGTTAGAAATGTTAAGTATGTCCTATTTTCTTTTTTCATATTATTTATTTTTTAATGGCCTATCATATCAGTCTCTAACTGGACCAATAAGCAGCATCATGATAAATGGAGAAAAGACTGAAATTGTCAAAGATTTCATATTACTTGGTTACACAATCAACACCAATGGAAGCAGCAGTGAAGACATCAGGTGACTTATTGCACTGGGCAAATGTGCTGCAAAAGACATTTTTAAAATTCTGAAGAGCAAAGATATTTCTTTGAAGACTAAGGTACACCTAACTCAAGCCATGGTATTTTCAATCGCCTCATATGCATGTGAAAGCTGGACAATGAATAACGAAGACCAAAGAAGAGTTGAAGTTTTTGAGTTGTGATGTTGGCAAAGAATACTGAAAGTACCATGGACTGCCAGAAGAACTAACAAATCTGTCCTGGAAGTAGAGCAGCTGGAATGATCCTTGGAAGTGAGAATAGACAGATTTTGTTTCATCTACTTTGGTCATGTTGTCAGAAGGGACTATTCCCTGAAGACGGGTATTATGCTTGGTAAAGTAGAGGGTCAGTAAAAAAGGGGAAGACCCTCAATGAGATGGGTTGACATGGTGGCTGCAATGATGGGCTCAAGTATAACAAGGATTGTGAGGCTGGCACAGGTCTGGGCAGTGTTTTGTTCTATTGTACAAAAGGGTCACCATGAGTTGGAACTGACTCGAAGGCACCTAACAACAACAAAAACATCAGTCTCTTTGTGAGATTTTCAATATTTAATCAAAGTCTTGTCTAAATCTAAAATTTTAGAATGTTGTCATATTTCATTCATATTCATCATCTATTAATCCAAGACCATAATATCGTTCATACACATTTTATGCTAAATCCTTGATTCTCAAAGTGTGACCTGAGGACCAGCAGCAACAGCATGACTTAGGAGCTTATGAGAAATGCAGAGTCCTTGGCCCCACTGAATCAGAATTGGCATTTTAACAAGATCTCAGCTGACCTATACACACATGAGAGATTAGGATACATTATTCTATATAATACCTCTGACTTATACACATGTTTGAACCCTCACCTGTTTTAATTTCCACAAATTACTGAATCTTTAATGCAGTCTTTAAGGAACTCTGATGGTGCAGTGCCTAAGGCATTAGACTGCTAACCAGAAGATAGGCGGTTCAAACACACCAGCCACTCTT